CCAACTTCTCAGATCACAAAGGTATGAAACTAGAAAAAACTGTACAAAGAAAACAAAAAGGCTCACAAACACATGGAGGCTTAACAACATGCTCCTAAATAATTAATAAATCAATGACCAAATTAAAACAGATCAAGCAATATATGAAGACAAATGAAAACTACAGCACAACACCCCAACTTCTGTGGGACACAGCAAAGGCAGTTCTAAGAGGAAAGTATATAGCAATCCAGGCCTATTTAAAGAGGGAAGAACAATCCCAAATGAGCAGTCTAAATTTACAATTATTGGAACTCGAAAAACAAATGAGGGCCAAAGTCAGTAGAAGGAGGGACATAATAAAGATCAGAGGAGAAATAAATAAAAGTTAGAAGAATAAAACAATAGAAAAAAATCAATGAAATGAAGAGCTGGTTCTTTGAGAAAATGGACAAAATATATAAACCTCTAGCCAGATTTACCAAGAAAAAAAGAGAATCTACACACATAAACAGAATCAGAAATGAGAAAGGAAAAATCACTATGGACACCACAGAAATACAATTAATTATTAGAGAATACTATGAAAACTTATATGCTAACAAACTGGATAACCTAGAAGAAATGGACAGCTTTCTAGAAAAATACAACCTTCCAAGATTGACCCAGGAAGAAACAGAAAATTTGAACAGACCAATTATCAGCATGGAAATCGGATTGGTAATGAAAAAATACCCAAGAACAAAACTCCTGGACCAGATGGCTTCACTGCTGCATTTTATCAGACATTTAGAGAAGACACAGTACCCATTCTGCTTAAAGTTTTCCAAAAAAAGAAAAGGAGGAACTAATTTCAAAGTCATTCTATGAAGCCAACATCACTCTAATACCAAAACCAGGCAAAGACATCACAAAAAAAGACTACAGACCAATATCCCTGATGAACATAGATGCAAAAATACTCAACAAAATATTAGCAAACTGAATTCAAAAATACATCAAGAGGATCATACATCATGATCAAGTGGGATTCATCCCGGGATGCAAGGATGGCCCAACATTAAAAAATCCATCAATATCATCCACTAGATCAATAAAAAGGACAAAAATCACATGACCATCTCCATAGATGCTGAAAAAGCATTTGACAAAATTCAACATCCATTCATGATAAAAACTCTCAACAAAATGGGTATAGATGGCAAGAACCTCAACATAATAAAGCCCAATATGACAAACCCACAGCCAACATCATAGTTAACAGGGAAAAGCTGAGAGCTTTTCCTCTAAGATCAGGAAGAAGACAAGGACGCCCACTCTCCCTGCTTTTATTCAACATAGTACTGGAGGTCCTAGCCACGGCAATCAGACAAAACAAAGTAATAAAAGGCATCCTGATTGGTAAGGAAGAAGTTAAACTGTCACAGTTTGCAGATGACATGATATTGTACATAAAAAACCTGAAAGAATCCACTCCAAAATTACTAGAACGAATATCTGAATTCAGCAAAGTTGCAGGATACAAAATTAATACACAGAAATCAGCTGAATTCCTATACACTAACAATGAACTAGTGGAAAGAGAAATCAGGAAAACAATTCCATTCACAATTGCATCAAAAAGAATAAAATACTTATGAATAAACCTAACCAAAGAAATGAAAGACCTTTATCCTGAGAAGTAGAAGACAACTTGAGAGAAATTAAAGAGGACACTAACAAATGGAAACTCATCCCATGCTCTTGGCTAGCAAGAATTAATATTGTCAAAACAGCCATCCTGCCTAAAGCAATCTACAGATTCAATGCAATCCCGATCAAAATACTGGCAGCATTCTTCAATGAACTCGAACAAATAGTTCTAAAATTCATATGGAACCAAAAAAGACCCTGAACAGCCAAAGCAATCCTGAGAAGGAAGAATAAAATGGGGGAGATCTCACTCCCCAACTTCAAGCTCTACTACAAGGCCACAGTAATCAGGACACTTTGGTACTGGCACAAGAACAGACCCATAGACCTATGGAACAGACTAGAGAGTCCAGATATATACCCAAGCATATATGGTTAATTACTATACTATAAAGGAGCCATGGATATACAATGGGGAAATGACAGCCTCTTCAACAACTGGTGTTGGCAAAACTGGGCAGCTACATGTAAGAGAATGAAATTGGATTACTGTCTAACTCTATACACAAAAGTAAACTCAAAATGGATCAAAGACCTGAATATAAGTCATGAAACCATAAAACTCTTAGAAGAAAACATAGGCAAAACTCTCTTGAATATAAACATGAGCAACTTTTTCATTAGCATATCTCCCCAGACAAGGTAAACAAAAGCAAAAATGAACATAAAGAACCATATCAAAGTAAAAAGCTTCTGTACAGCAAAGGACACCATCAGCAGAACAAAAGGGCATCCTACAGTATGGGAGAATATATTCATAAATGATATACCCGATAAAGGGTTGACATCCACAATACATAAAGAACTCATGCACCTTAACAACGAAAAAGCAAATAATCCAATTAAAGAATGGGCAGAGGATCTGAACAGATACTTCTCCAAAGAAAAAATTCAGATGGCCAACAGACACATGAAAAGATGCTCCACATCACTAAGCATCAGAGAAATGCAAATTAAAACCACAATGAGATAGCACCTCACACCAGTTAGGATGGCCAACATCCAAAAGACAAATAACAACAAATGCTGGTGAGGATGTGGAGAAAGGGGAACCGTCCTACACTGCTGGTGGGAATGTAAATTAGTTCAACCATTGTGGAAAGCAGTATGGAGGTTCCTCAAAAAACTAAAAACAGAAATACCATTTGACCCAGGAATTCCACTCCTAGGAATTTACCCTAAGAAAACAGGATTACAGATTCAAAAAGATATATGCATCCCTATGTTTATCGTAGCACTATTTACAATAGCCAACGTATGGAAGCAACCTAAGTGTCCATCAGTAGATGACTGGATAAAAAAGAAGAGGTGGGACATACACACAATGGAATATTATTCAGCCATAAGAAGAAAACAAATCCTACCATTTTCAACAACATGGATGGAGCTAGAGGGTATGCTCAGTGAAATAAGCCAAGTGGAGACAGACAAGTACCAAATGATTTCACTCATATGTGGAGTATAACAACAAAGCAAAAACTGAAGGAACAGAACAGCAGCTGACTCACAGAACCCAAGAATGGACTAACAGTTACCAAAGGGAAAGGGACTGGGAAGGGGGGTTAGAAGGGAGGGAGAAGAGGAATAAGGGTCATTAGGATTATCACACATAATGTGGGGGGCATGGGAACAGCGGTACAGCACAGAGAAGACAAGTAGTGACTCTATAGCATCTTAGTGTGCTGATGGACAGGGACTGTAATGGGGTATGTGGTGGGGACTTGATAATGGGGGAATGTAGCAACTACAATGTTGCGCGTGTGACTGTGTATCAATGATATCTTAATAAAAAATAAATAAATAAAAATAAAAAATAGTTGGCAAAAACACAATTACTGGGCCATAATTCTTTTATTATCTCAGTCTCAAAGGAACACAAGAAAGTAAACTTTCAATGAAATATTTGTTACTTGAGAACAGTAGTATAGAAAAGAGATCATGTATTTACAGGGGAATGAGTCTAATAATAAGAATGACTTTGGTTATAAAGAACCAAAACTAACTTTCAACATGCGTGTTTTTAAAACTATATAAAGTGTGTATTTAAAACCTTCATTTATAGAGTATCTAAAACTTGACTTTTATATAAGACTTACAGAACATTCTTTTTAAAAAGAACAATGAGAGAATAAAGACATTATGAACAGCAAATAATATTTACTCAGAACTTATTGTTTGTCAGGCATGGTGCTGAGTACTAAGCATCTGACATGGATTGCCTCATATACTTCTCTCAAAGTAAAAGCTTAGTGAGCTTAAACTTTGCCCAAAGCCAAAGCTCATAAATGACAGAACTGAAATTCAGGACAACCTGACTTGTGTTCTTAAAGTAACTTAAGTTTACTTAAAAGTAAACTTGAGTTCTTAATCACTGAGTAATAATGCTTTTCCTTTCAGTCATGCTGACTCCTGTCATCTGGTACTCACACAACAAAATATTATTTGCCTTGCAGACATTGGCTTATCCAAATATTTGTTCAATTTTCAGTAAATCAAGATTATTACATTTAGACCTCTTGGTGCTACATCAGAAATGCCATGTTCTTTATCAGTGCTACGTACCATATTCTTAACAAATTTAAAATGCAAAGTCAAATTTATTTGATAAATTAAAAATACAAGTAACCACCAAAAAATTTCACAAATTGAGAAAGGCGTGTTTCAAAACATGTTTTTTCTATTCTGTTCATAAGTTCAAAAGTTTTAGTGGCCCAAATTCAAATTCTTTCAAAAAGTAGATAGCTATTAAATACACAGATTTATTCAATATAAATCACTTTAGCACTGGGATATTTCTAAAAGGCTTTAAATAAAAGGTAATTTAAAATGTGTTGCTTCAGCTTTTACACCTTTATTTAAAATGCTAAGTATTCTAAAGACATTTTTAATCCCGTTTAAAGAGCATAATGTAAAGGATGTTTCATAAGAAAATACATTAAGCCTAATATTTGTATTATAATCTCTGTAAAGTCACAAATTCAAACTACAAATTTAAAAAAATGACTGGCTAGAATTTTGAATGTGGTCATTCAAAACAAAGCATCATGGTACAATGGAATGAAGACTTGTCCAAAAGTCAAAACTGAATTTCAGACCCCTTTAAGCAAGTGAACTTACCTCTGTAGGCTTTTTTAGTTTTTTCATCTCTAAATCAGAACTATACAAAGATGCTACTGAAAAGGCCATGCTAGCTCACTAATTTTATTTACATCTGAGAACTTTCATGTCAACATAAAGTAATTAACACTCTAGACTTGCTGCTCATATTCTTGAATTGTTCTTCAGAAATTATTTAAGAGTTAAAATTGATTTAAAATAAACTGTATTACCTTAAGTTCAGCAACTTGTGAAGAAATATGCCACATAAGGCTTTCACTTAGGAACTTCATACCATATGGGCCTAGCAGTTCTGATAATGACCTCATTTCTGAAAGGAAATGTTATTCATTTTATACTCTGAGCAAATACATGAGAAAATGAACTTAACATATTGGAACATTCCATTACAGAAGCAAATTATTAATGCAAAAACCTGAGGAAAGTCTCTAAAATAAAAAAGGTAACACAAATGCAAAGGTTACGTCTAAGATACAATGTATGTTTATGCATAACTGAATGAGAATAGTCATAACAGAATTAAAAGCCAAAGAAGAATGAAATCTTCATACTCCAAACCATAAATTATTGTTCACCTGATATGTCAGAATATTCCTCTGCATTGAATGTTAATTCATTTTCTGTAGGTAAGTTCACAAATGCTTTCATCGCAGGGAAATAAGCTATATGACCATTGCTGACTTGTCTTAACAAAGTTTCCAAGTACCTAAGGAGAAAAGTAAATTTATAACCAAGAGAAATTAATTGCTTAATTCAAAATTTATTAGGGTATACATTCCTGTATATACTTTTAAGGTGACAGGTAACTTAACATACATGATATTTATCCTTAAAAAAAAACTTTCCTAAGTAGTTCATTTTATAGTTAATAATAAGGAAATTTTGTTATTAATTCAAATTTCTAAATGTATTCCTTACCAATTTGTGTATAGACTTGTAATAGTTGGCTCTCCATGACTGTCTAAGTGTTGTGTTTGTTGAAGAAGAACATTATTAAATACTCTTGTAATATCAATTTGCACATAGTTTTCTATGGACTGGAGTACAGTCATGTAAGCTCTTACACTTGTTAGAAGCTCTGATGGTTTTGCAATTTCCTGTGTGGCTTGGTTATACATAGTCATTCCAACAATCGACCTGGGGGTGGTGGGAAGAAGAAAAGAGTTATGAGTTTTGCAGTTCCGTAAATATGCCACTCAACCTAGGACCTCTAATAGTAAATAAATAAATGATAAAGTTAATTTTAAATAGAATTTTTAACAAAGCCATGAAATTGCTACTATAGTTATCTTATGAAGAAACAACACAACAAAAGAATGAACACCTAAAAGCTACAATGAAATGGGAATACAAGTGCCTAAAAAATTCTAAGGACATCAGTAATAAAAATGACTTAAGGATACAGAGTTTAAAAAAATGTTTTAATATGATGTCTGTAACAACTACAATAAAATATTTAGTCTATAGATTGAGTTCATCTGGCACTGCAATATACTACCAGTTTTTATTTTTTTTAGGCTTTACATATATTACCTATAATCCTCGTATTTAATAATCATACTATGTAGCTGTTATTGTCCCATTTCACAGATGTAAAAAACTAAGGTGCAGAACTAGTAAACTGATCATGATCACTTTATTTGCAAGTGGCAGATCTACGGTTTGACTCCACATCTGCCTGCCTTAGTGATGCCTCTCAACAAAATGCATGAGAGTCAAAACAACTGAACAAATAGGAAAACTTTATTGTCCTTTAATCACTCACAGCACATAACACAGTTCTGCTTGGTTTATATCCCAAGAAACTGTACAAGCCTAAAAGGAAACACAAATTTATGAAATATTTTTCTGTGACCTTTTCTTATATTTGCCACCCTTATTTTCCCTCCTTAAAATTCCCTGAGCATTACTGTAAAGATCTTAGACTTGTATTTGTAAGGATGAATCTGAAGAAAACAGACCAGTAGAAAACCCACCAGTAAAACAGTCCCAGAAGAACTCAAGACAAAATTTGCTATCCTTGTATACAACTCCCCAGTCCTAAGATTGTGCTCAAGTGATCAGCAAAAATCAACCAACTAATATAAGCTCTTTGTCCTGTCATAAACATCTTCCCCAAGTAAACAACTTCACAGCCTTGCCACGATCCTGATCACGAAGTAATGTTTGTCAAAAGAACATTTGTTTCTCTGTAGATTAACAGACCAGACTATTTAAAAAAGGAAAAAAAGGGAGTTGTAAATTGAACCCAACTTTCCACGCTCCACTCTACCACCCCCCCACAGTTGAGAATAATAAATACCAGAGGGCATAATATCCCCTTGGTCTAAATATTAGAGCATTCTGGGCTTCCCTGTCAGGATACCTGCCTAACTAAAGGAGGGCAAAAACCAGTCTATGTTCACCACACTCTTCTCTAATCAAGTGAATACTTAACACTCAATTTAGTGCCCACTTACACACTCTCCTATTTTGTTCTCTAATTATTGTAATCTTCTCACCAACTAAAGCTCTAAGCTTTATCTCTTTCATTACTATTCATAGTACTTAACACAATGTTAAGCATATAGTACAAATACCACACTACAGATATAGTAACAAATACTTGCTAATGACTACAAAACTTTGAAAAATCTTTGGCAATTTATAAATTGCTTAAAAGCCTTCAAGAACAATTCATCAAATCAGTATTTTCTTTAATAATGTGTGACTTCAGAAAAAAGTTGAAGCAACATTTATAAAACTAAAGTTTCTAACATCACATGCAATATTATTCCAAGAAATACATACATATGCAGCTTATAAAACCCTAATTAGAATTGAGTGCTTCAGGAGTCTAGAATTCCACTGGCATAACAGGATACATTCAAATTCAGAAACAGTTCACCTAGTCCTGAGGCTTTCAAACATTTGACTGTGACCCACTTTAAGATATGAATAACTTAGTACATATATATATATATATACATAACTGAAAAGTTTTCATGAAGCAATATTTGTAATATACGCAATACACTGATTTTTTTTCCTTTCCTTCCCTCCCACTTCTTTCTTTCCTTAAATGTTGATTATAACCTTCTAAATGTGATTTCAACCAAAAGGGTTGCCAACTGACAGCTGAAATACACTAATTTGCTTCAATCTTCTCATTTGGCTTACAATTAAAGCTCAAAGAAATTAACTGGCTTATCTAGTGTTACAACTAATTAATAACAATTATGAGACAAAAATCTGGGTAATTTAAGTAATTCCCAGTTCACTATTCTTCATACTTCCTGAGGTAAAGCAGGGACATGAGACAAGTGTCATGATTCAATTTTTCCTGCTTTTGACTAAAAAAGCCAAGATATAAATAGTATACTAAGAACAGGAAGGACTCCATCTTAAGGCTAAGATTCTATATTAAAAATTAGGGAGTCAGGAGGCAATATTCCTAACATACTTTATGGTAATTAGCCAACAACTGACCCTATCTTAAGGCAGTGCAAGCAGTCCTAAATGACATGTTTCCACTGCTTGAGGGTAACCACTATCTTGGAGAAGAACAGGTTTGATGAACTCCTTAAGTTTTATCTTACAGAATATGTAGATGACTGACTATGGATGATGACATAGTGTCCCTCACCAGGGATGGACATCAGGAGACCACATATCAAGCCTATGTCTCCCCCATCCCCACCCCCTTTCACCCCATTCTGAAATCCTTAGAAGACATAAATCCTAAGCCTTTAAGCACGCCTCCTCTCTGAGGCTGCCCGCAGTCCCCTTTCTTTGAGTGTGTACTTTGCCTTAAATAAAGTCTTCTGGATGCTCAACTTACTACGTTTTTGTCTCTGTGCTCTTCCAAACCTCTTGGGAGATTAGTAAGAAACCCCTTTTCCCAGTGGTAAGTGTCTTTGTTACTTCGCTATTTCATTCAATTTTCTAGACTTGAGCACAAGTCTTCACTCTCTCTGTCCTACTTCAGGTAAGTAGGGAGGGGCTACTGAGATCTCTGATGTGGGCTGGCAACTTCCCATCACCTGAGTGACCCAGATGGGTCTGCAGCTTTACAATCATGTTCTTTTAGCAGCCTGCCTGAAAATCTCCTTTCTTTGCTTTGGGGAAGTTCTCAGAACATAAATGCACTCGACCCAGTGCTCAGTGGCTGCTCCAAATCTGGGGTGTTAGGGGCTTAGTTCCCAGGCTGTGAAGACTCAAGTGGACACTGGATGCCTGGTGACCCTGGCTTCAGGAGTTGGCAAGGCATCTGCCCTATACCAAGCAAGAGTTCAGTGAGCTCTGAACTCCCTCTGTTCTTCCTTGCTCTCTGCTGCCTGAATGGTTGCTGCTGTTCATTACTACTCTCACTTTCATGTATTTCTTCCTTACCTATCCTCAACCAACCGGTCCTGAATTCTTTCTCGATCAGAGTCAAGAATACACCCCTGTCCAGGCTGAGGTTTCACCTACTGCGCATGGAGACACCTCCCCAGAAGAGGCTGCCCAGGAACATTCCTGGTTCATTATTTTTTTATACTACATCAGTTTTACTAATATTTTTCTTCATAAAAGGAGACACTGTACAGATATGAAGAACATATATAATAAGCTCATTAACTGAACCAACAAACAAAAACAGTTTATATTCTTTCTTACTTAGTAAAGCGGATTTCCAGATGAGAAGTTAAATATTCTCTTGGGGTAAAGGTATGTTCCCAAACCACCATGTTTGGTACATAATTTATAGAGAAACACAACTCAGAAAGTGCAGTGTGCAATTTGTCAAGGCTGAAAAAAATTAAGCAGTAAATAAAAGTTTCAACATTTCATCATAATACAAAATTAATTTTATAAACAGACCATATCCCCATAAACATATTTAGGAACAATAAGCTGCAAAATTCAGTTTTTTTCTCTCCTAATCTAACAAAGTTCAAAACGTTTATGGATATCATTAACATAGAGCATTTCCTAAAGAACATCACTCATTTGTTTCTACATTCAGATGGTAATGACTATGTTGACAATACACAAGGAAGAGCTTATTTCACTCATAAAGACAATCATCTCCAAATTCTGCTGTACTTTTGTTGTAGAGGAACAAAGTTGTGTACAGAAAAGCAAATAGCTTGCTCAACATAGGAGGCAAGGAAGTAGGATATCTATTTTAAACCAAAAAAAATTCACCTATTATTGCCCACCTATGCCTCCCATCCAAACAGTCAGTCCTGAATGTATCTGTATTTTGATATGTTAATTTTAAAATAATGATATCAGGCATGTTCTAATATATGACAGCCTGCCAAAATAGTCTCTGATTATCTGATTTTAAATAAATAAGAAATTATAGATTGCTTACAGTGCACTCCCAATTTTTTTAGACAAATTCTTGGCTTTCAGTATTCAGTATATGAAGACAAATATAATCTACTACATGTATTTACTTAAAACATCCAGCATCTGTATTTTGCGATGAAATGCACACTAACTGGCTAATTAAGTTCACAAAGGTTAAAAAAAAAAAAGAGACTGGGAAATGAAAAGTTTACAATTACTAGCATTTCCTCAGCTCTAATGCCATATATAAAATGAAAAAACTTCTACCCATAACAAAAGAATGTAACAGAAGTGGATGGCTTACTTGGTCACTACCAGTCTGTTTTTCCTCATGCTCTCAACTCCTGGTTTTTCCCTTTCAGGTTCCCCTTTCTTACCAGTCTGTTTTTTTGACTTCTTATTCACTGCTTGACTAATGGTTTTGGCACAATGCTTGGGCAGCAACTAAATTTAAAAAGATATGAAATCTTAAATTACACTGATTACTTTGAAAACACATTAATTTTTAAGCAGACCTTATGTGAATCCAGACTATGTAGCAAGTATCATGCCAGCACTAAGAACAGAGGTAGAAGTAGGAAGCAGAGATTACCTAGCTAGTTTGGGGAGCCCACATAGCTTGATGTAAAACAGAAATGGGCAAATCCTGTGTGAAGAAACACTTCACAGGAAATTATATCAAGGCTGTAGTTTAATGGATAAGTAAAAACAGAGTAGATAAGCAAAGAATGAGAATGAGTATTTGATTGGCAAAAAGACTGCCTATGAAGAACAAACTATATTAGGACACAATGTGTTCAGAATCTAGTGAAAACTACTACATGATGAGGCATAAAGAGCAAAGTAGAGTAGAGTGGTTTGAACTATCAGGAAGGGACTTGAATGCCAGGTTGGTATTTAAACTAAGTAATCCTAAAACTAGTGGCAATTGTCGAAAACCCTAAGGAGCTTTACAAGAAATAATGAGATTTACTGAATTTGAGAATAAAGAAATGGAAAAATAAATAACTGGCTAACAGTTAATTCTCTGGCCTTCACACATAAATTTCCCATCTGTATGGAAACATTTAAATTATTACCTGATCACTAAGAGTACACTGTTCTGTGCAAATATCAGTGATGAGATTTCGAGCTTGTTTGGCCATTTCATCCAGGAACATATTACATAAGGAAAGACTGCGATCTCCAATATGATGTCGCTGTTAAAGCAGAATAAAGATGATAATAAAAGTTGTATATTTTCTCAATACAATGGGATAAAAAAAGACAATCACATTTACATATATATATGTATATGTAGAAACACACACTCAAATCCATCCATCTCTATCTACAGGATTCTATATCTTTTTAATTTTGGTGGGTGTTGCAATAGTTTAATAGGTTTTTCTTGTCAGTGGTAACAGGAATATTGAGTATATAATGCTGTAAAATTTTGTACTACACATTTGTAATACTTTACAAAGAGAGAAATTTTTTAAAGTTTTCCTTCCCGGACCTTTCACAATTATATAACATATATAGAGATTATATACACTATTTCTATGTGGTTAAAATATAATATATATAAATTTTACATATAAAAGATAATATAAAAGAATATAACTGTTCCTAGATCTAACCATGACACCTTAATGTTTTATTTAAAATGTCCTTTAAAACTTAGAGCCAAACCAAAAGGGACCTATAGGCCAGATACAATAAAAAACTGGTTCACTTTACCTAAGTGAAAATTTCAAATTATAAAGTGTTTTATTTAACCAAATTCCAACTCCTGAAAGATAAAACATATTCCTTGTTATTATCACTTCTTCCTGAAAAACAGAATACTGAACTAGCCTTGCTTCCAATTTACTACTTACTTGAAATAAAGATCTTATTTCTCTACTCCGCTTCAGTGACTCAGAAATGCTAACACTGGAAAACAAAAGAACTAAAGCTTCCTAATGTGACACAAGTCTCTCCATCATCTGCTGAGAACAGACTTTAGAAGAACGGCAGAAGCAGAGAGATCATTTAGGAGACTATTGACAATAATCTGGGAAAAAGATAATGTGGCTTGGAGAAGACATAGGAGTCTGGATTATATAAATGTCGAACCAAAGATAGAAAAGGTTCCAAGGATGGGGGTGGAGAAATATGTGAAGAATCTATAGTTCTTTCTTGAACATGTTACATTTCAGATAAAAAAATACCTAATGCAGCAAGACACAGAGGAAATCTAGATTTGAGGGAAAGAACTGGACTAGAGATAAATAAATGAGAGACATCAGTATAGGGAAGATTTTTAAACAATGAGACTGGAAAAGATGAATAAACTACTATAATGGATGGTACAGACAGAACAACACAATTACTAGTTTGCCATTATCCAGGGATCCTATTGACATAGCAGGGTGTGAACTGCAACTCTAGTTCAAAAGCACTGTCTTTTTGCAAATTTATTAAGTACTCTAGCTCAAACTGAGGCCTTAGCATTAATAAGTCATTCTAGAAGCTTTTCTATATTGTCTCTTATCTAAATGAGCTGAAACTAAAATTACAAAGTCAGACTGCACTAAGAACTATGCACACCAATTTACTCTATTCTCACTCTTAGGTGAACTCCCTTAATGCTCCCAAAGTGCTTCACATATTTATTTCTACAACAGCACAGATTATCAAATCAGGGACTTATCAAGGAAAGAGACCATGTCTTCACATTTCTTATCACAGGATTTAGTGAAGCATCTAGAAACTAACAGGCCTTAACAAATTAGCTAAATGAAAAACAGAACAGTGCCACTTACTAGTTAACATGACTATAAGGACAGAAAAAAAAATTCACCAGAGACTTTCTTCATCTGTAAATTAAGGATAACTATCAGCAGTACTACACTGTCACTTTGTTGTAACAATCAAATGCCAAAAAAAAAGCTATATAAAAATTTTGTACTTATATAAAGACATTATTAACTACTTGTAAATTATTATATTTAATAAGACTTAAAGTCTTATCCTATTCATGACCTGTAACTTAACCAACTAAGTGGGGCAGAAACATTATAATAAGTGGTACAAGGTAGATAAAGACAAATAATGATAAAGTGCTATGGCAATATGGTAAAGGAGGGACAAATTCTAACTGGAGAAATGCTAAAAACCTTTTTGGAGGAGGTGGGATTTAAGATGAGCACCGAAGAGGAGGTAAGGCTACAATAGGTGGAAGTGCAGCAGAATGAATTTTATATATGAGGAAAAGCCATTAGGAGGCCAAAAAGTAAATAAATAAGCATGGTTTGCATAAGATGGGCTACTTATAGTTAGTAGGGAGTAGAAAGTAGAAGATAAGAATGAGAGCAGAATCCATCAACAGGTAAGTGAATAAACAAAATGTGGTAGATACATACAATGGATTATTATTCCACCATAAAAAGGAACTTCTGATACATGCTGTAACATGGCTGAGCCTTGAAACATTATGCTAAGTGAAATAAGCCAGACACAAAAGGACAAATACTGTGTGATTCCATCTGCACAAACTATCTAGAATAGGCAAATTCATTGAGACCAAAAGCAGACTAAAAAATACCACAAGTTGGAAGGACGGGAAGTTACCACTTATTACAGTTTCTGCTTGGAGTAATGAAAGTTTTGGAAATGGACAATGGCGATCGTGGCACAACACTGTAAAGGTAATTAATGACACTGAACTGTACATTTAAAAATAACTAAAAAGACACATTATATTATATATATATATATATATATATATATATACATATATACATATATACATATATATATTAAATTTGAAGTTTTCAGAAGACCAAAAAGAACAAAATAAAACGAAAGAATGAGGGTAGAATCAAATTGTAAGAAATTTTACTTTCTGCATATACAGTGGAGAGCCACTGATGATTCTTTAAGAAAGAGGCACTCTGGTGGCATTGTATGAGTCTTAAAGGCAGAAATATTGGAGGTAGTACATATGAATATTGAAAATCTGAGCTACAACAGTGACTATAGGAATGGAAAGTAGAGTATGGATTTAAGAAAAGGTAACAAATAAAACGAAGATTTAATGGGTGATTTAACAAGAAAGATGATGGTGATGAAAAATAATATAGTATTATCTTAGGTGTAAAGCTTGGGGAAGGACTCTGTTAAATTTTAAAACTCAAAAATCTATTAAAATTGGTGTTATTAACATCCTCACATATATTAATTCCAAAAGCATTCCCTAATAAACTTCCTGCACATTAATCTCTACCTCAGTCTGCTTCCAATGGAATGTACTACCTGCAAGTTGTTATCCAATGTTTAAAGATATTTAATAGCACTACTGCTACTTGTAAGTTTCTTTTCTACCAGTTCTGCTAGACTCAACACTAAATTAAATTAAAAAGAGGTACAGTATTTACTTTTAATATAGATTTTTAACACACAAAGCAGTATTTCTTCTTTAAAGACTGTAAGAAAGATTGAATACATTTGTGATAGATACTTGGTCCCAATAAAATAGTGAGTAGTTTGATTATTCAGTAACTTGTGTGCCTGCATGCTTGTGCATGTTTGTCTTATAAATACCAGAAAATCTGGATTTTGCTTACTACATCTACTACATTAACAACTTGGTGAAATTCCTTTTTGATGTTGTTTATGTTATTCAGTTATCTGTACATTCATTTTGTAAGTCCTTTCAGTAATAATTTCAGAGGAAAACTAAGCATGCAGAATCAATTACTGTATATAACTATACCATAAATATAAATATCAAGTGACTTTTTATGTTCTTATAAAATGTATGTATATTTACCACCCATCCAAACTAACAGTGTATCTATATCATATATCCATTCAAGCATTCTACTGATTCTGCATAGAGATAAACTAGGTGGGAAGCTAGATTAGGTAATTATAGTTAATACTTGAACAATGTGGGTTTGAACTTAAATGCAGATTTTTTTCAACAAATACATTGGAAAACTTTTTGGAATTTGAAAAAACATCTTTTCTCAGTTTATTGTAAGAATACACTATATAATATATGTAACACAAAATATGTGTCAACTGACTCTTTAATATTATCAGTATGGTTTCTAGTTAACAGCAGGCTATTAGGGGTTAAGTTGTTGGGAGTCAAAAATTACATATGGTTTCTCGACTGAGCTGGGGGCTGGTACCTTTAAGCCCTGTGTTGTTCAAGGGCCAACTGTATGACTGTGAAAATCTGGAAGTCTACTTGTTTAACCTAGTTAATTCTGCATACCGTATAAATCACAGTACTACTCTTAAATTACCTCTTCTGGACACAGTTCATGTGTGCAACTCATAAAATGAGTGCAAAGCAATGGAAACGCAATTGAGTATCTTGACTGAGAGGGTAACTCCAAACATTGTTGAAACATCTTCTCAAAAGCACGACTATAAAAACTATACAAGGAAACAAATTAAAAATTAAGTCACAATTTTTATAGTTAAAATAAAACTTTCATGCTGTAATACCTTATAGTTAAATTAATTTGGTTCAAATGAAGGAAAGTTAATGACTGATAGCATTTATTTCTTTAGGAATAGTTATTTACCAAAGATTATCTCTTACACAGCAATAATGATTCCACAGTAATAAAAATGTTATTTGTGTAACATTTACAAATTTAAAAAAAACTTTAAATGAAAACAAACCATATCTATGGCATATGAATATATGACATTCAATCTCCTATCACCAAATTTCATCAAAGCTAAGTCATCAACTGTAGAAAGACCATTATTTTAGGTATCACTAAGAACGGTAAACATTATCAATTAATGAATGACATACCATCAATTTTAAATTACTTCTGGTTTTAAGAGATGTTCATTATGAAAAAATATGAATTGGTAAGATACAGTAATCTCAGACTAAGACAAACAGAAGCAATAAACATGCATTTATTTTGGATGTGGCAGACAAAATGTGATTATGAGAAAAAAGGGAAAAAAATTAATATAACTAAAATTTACAAATTTAAAAATTAAGTACTTTTACTTCTAAGAAAGGGAAGAGGACTTTCTAACTGCAGTATCCTTTTTAACAACAGGATCCTTTCTGTAGCTCAAAAATACATAAACATAAAATGTTCCATTTTCTTTCCAAGGTGGCCTTTGGGTCAGACAATAGTGTATGGTTCCAAAAAATCATAAAGATTCTTGCAAATCTGATGTGATATAGTTCTTGAATTCCTATAAAAGACCCCTTATGCTTTCCCTGCCTGCCAGACTTGGATTTCTTGTATATGTTAATTAAAGCCATCCTAACAAATTGCCAAGATGAGGGTGAACTGGGTCACTTTCCAAAATAAAAGCAATGAAAAACTTTTCATAATGACAGTTACTCAATACATGGAAACTACTACCATTACCCACTAGATTATCTCAGCATTTTAGAAAAAAAAGGGGCATACGAGATTATTTCACTCAGCTTCTCTAAGGGAAAAAAAAGGCCAAGGAGCAGAAATAGAGTTAATACTGTACCGCTTTGGAATCAGAAACTTGAGTTTGAATCTTGGCCCCACTGTTTATTAATTTAATCACAATCAAGTCACTTACTCATTTGTATTTATTATATACCTACTATGTTAGACACTAAGGAAACAAAGACACAACCTTCCTTCAAGGACCTTGTTTGTGGGGGGGAAAAAGAGGGAAGAAAAGTTGTGAACTACTGTAACTAAAGAGGGCATGATAGAAGCAAAAGAGAGTGGAGCACTATGGTGGGAGTAGTCACCACATCATCCTAACAATAGTGTCTAATTTAATACTGTAGAGTGAAATTATTTGGTATTTCATTTCCAACCTTTGTTCTATTTGGCTCTGATCCACAACTTTTTCTCCTTAATCTAATGA